TTTCGATTCCACATTTTTCGTATACAAGCAAATCTATATTCTTTGTTTTCTGCTTCTATATTTTTCATATTATTTTTCTTACGCTGTTCTCTCACTGTGCATAAAGTGAGAAAGTGTATTTTTGACAGAAAATATAGACATATGATCACAAAAATGAAATAGTAAGAAAACAACGCAAAAAGAAAAAATAATAAGAAATTAATAAAGGAGGAAGAAAAAAATATACAAAGGCACGAGCATATTTAAATTATTTCTCTCATTTTACTTTCAATTAGTATATCTCATATATAGCGTACATTATAATATTACTGTGCGACTTCAACCGTTTATATTATCACATCATGCATTTCAAACTGTTTAAATTGAAAACTATTGAATATATCAAATATACGGTTTCTTTTTTTTATTTTTTTTTTATTACAACTGTACATTTACATATTATGCGATCGTAAGCTTTGTATAATGCATATGCGCTTATCTGAAAGACTAAAAGCGGTTTCCCCGTAAGGTACGCCACGATATTACCGGTTTACCTTACAAAAATGTAATCGGGGTTATTCTCGATAAATTACAGAAATTACACGGTTAAGTTTAATAGTATCGACTCCGTAAATCGGGTTGTTAATAAACTTCCTCTGAGAAAAAGTTTTATATAATTATATATAAGATCATATATAATTGACCACACACATACAGTCAGATCCAAAGGCGCGATATGATTTTATATAATCAAATATGATTGTATCTAATCAAATATAACCGATTACATCCCAGTAAATACAGCCATATTAATGTTTAAATGTGTATGTATAGTACACAAAAATGAATATTATAGATAATATTGCATAAGTGTTAATTAACCGGTAAGCTATTTGTTAATTATAAGCTCCCACTCATAAATATGAGATGTAATATATATGTTATATCATATATAACACAAATAATTGGTTCGACGTAATTATATATAAATAAAACAATAATTAAATTTAAATAATTTATTTATTTAATTCATAAAATCCGTGATTTAATTTAAATTTTTATTGAATTTCTATTTTGCGTTTCGAATATACAGAAAACAAAGAATTTTCGATTTATCGAAGAGATAAGAAATAGAAAAAAAAAAGACTTTTCAAAGAAAGATTATATTGCATTTATATCATCAGAAAAATAAATAGTTTATATCATATAAAATAGAAGAAAACATTAGCCATCATTCGATAAGCACCGAGTGATTATCAACTGTGCAAACAAATTCGAGCAAAGAAATTTGTAAAATCAACATTTGCTCGAGGTCTTGAAAAACACTTTAATGGATTCTTGAGTAAACGCAAGGCAACATGGTGATATTCGACCTTGTGAGTTGATTCTACCGTTATTATTCGTTGATTATATATTGGTATTTGCAGGGCGATTGCCTTTCAATTCTTTTTTTATTTTGCTCTTGAGCAATATTATTTTGAAAACAATTAAAAATTGCAAGTAAATTCATACTTTAATGGATAAAAGTATATTATTAGAGAAAAGAAAGCTTTTTTTTGTCCCATAAATTGCAATCTTTGTTTTAAAATAAGGAAAAGAAGATGCAATTAATCCGATCTATCTCTAAAAGGTTTTTCTTTATAGATGGAGACAGAGGCATATACGAAGAAAAAAATAATGAGAAAATATAACATGAAAATTGAGAAGTATAGAAGTAGGAGAAATAATCTGAGAGGAAAATAGATAAAATTTTGCGAATGGAAAATAACGCTGTAGAGATAGGTATTCATACAATATGAACATCAGAGAAATTGTAATGGTGCGCGATTCCTCCCGCGTCCCGCTGCTTGCCTCGAAATTTATTCATCTGCTGTCGGAAAATAAAAAAAGAAACCTGACATTTTTCTATCTATGCAAGCCCTAATGAAAAGGCGCGTTGAATTATATATGTATTCAGATGGATAATAGATATGTAGAATATCTGCTATGAACAATAAAACCATTTTTATAATTTTAAAATCATTAATTTTCTTTAGATACTTGCTTATTAAAATATTTTAGTTTAGTTTAATGAATATTACATGCACATATACACGCGCGGGCACGCGTACAGACACACATGACATACATGAAAATTTATATGAATTTTTAAACATGCCATATATATATATATTTATATATATAAACATAGATACACTTACGCTTGCACGTGTGTATGTGTGCGTTCGCACGCCATGTATACAAATAGAAAGAATAGGAAATAAGGCGGAAAAAAGAAAAAGGAAGAGTAAGGTTTTTCATGGCCGCGAGAGGAAAGAGGAGGAAGACCTTTTCACCAAAAGGAAATTTTCTGGATAGTCGAGTTTTCCAACCAAAAAAAAAGACTTTTCAAAGAAAGATTATATTGCATTTATATCATCAGAAAAATAAATAGTTTATATCATATAAAATAGAAGAAAACATTAGCCATCATTCGATAAGCACCGAGTGATTATCAACTGTGCAAACAAATTCGAGCAAAGAAATTTGTAAAATCAACATTTGCTCGAGGTCTTGAAAAACACTTTAATGGATTCTTGAGTAAACGCAAGGCAACATGGTGATATTCGACCTTGTGAGTTGATTCTACCGTTATTATTCGTTGATTATATATTGGTATTTGCAGGGCGATTGCCTTTCAATTCTTTTTTTATTTTGCTCTTAAAAGCAATATTATTTTGAAAACAATTAAAAATTGCAAGTAAATTCATACTTTAATGGATAAAAGTATATTATTAGAGAAAAGAAAGCTTTTTTTTGTCCCATAAATTGCAATCTTTGTTTTAAAATAAGGAAAAGAAGATGCAATTAATCCGATCTATCTCTAAAAGGTTTTTCTTTATAGATGGAGACAGAGGCATATACGAAGAAAAAAATAATGAGAAAATATAACATGAAAATTGAGAAGTATAGAAGTAGGAGAAATAATCTGAGAGGAAAATAGATAAAATTTTGCGAATGGAAAATAACGCTGTAGAGATAGGTATTCATACAATATGAACATCAGAGAAATTGTAATGGTGCGCGATTCCTCCCGCGTCCCGCTGCTTGCCTCGAAATTTATTCATCTGCTGTCGGAAAATAAAAAAAGAAACCTGACATTTTTCTATCTATGCAAGCCCTAATGAAAAGGCGCGTTGAATTATATATGTATTCAGATGGATAATAGATATGTAGAATATCTGCTATGAACAATAAAACCATTTTTATAATTTTAAAATCATTAATTTTCTTTAGATACTTGCTTATTAAAATATTTTAGTTTAGTTTAATGAATATTACATGCACATATACACGCGCGGGCACGCGTACAGACACACATGACATACATGAAAATTTATATGAATTTTTAAACATGCCATATATATATATATTTATATATATAAACATAGATACACTTACGCTTGCACGTGTGTATGTGTGCGTTCGCACGCCATGTATACAAATAGAAAGAATAGGAAATAAGGCGGAAAAAAGAAAAAGGAAGAGTAAGGTTTTTCATGGCCGCGAGAGGAAAGAGGAGGAAGACCTTTTCACCAAAAGGAAATTTTCTGGATAGTCGAGTTTTCCAACCTCACATTGTCGGTTACGCCAAGAAGCAAGCAACAAGTGGAGATCTGAAATGCCCCTCCTCTGTAAATCTCTCTTTTCCACCTTTCGAACTTTTGTACACTGGTCTTCTTTTACGCTCTATTTCCAAGACCTTTTTTCTTTCTTGTTCTTGATTTCCAACATTTTCGTTTTATACGTTTATACGTTTAATACGTTTCCGTCGCTAAATTTCGCGTAACAGATCTGACTCCTACATTCTGACAATTTAAAATAAATGTTATAAAAGATTCATAGAATATAACGTAGAAATAATGAAAAAACCGTAATGAAAAAATTGACACAATAAAATGATAGAAAAAATATAAAACTTTTTAATTAATTTTTTATAAAATGATATTCGCAGAAAAAGTTCAAAAAGGTAAAGAAATAAAATCTAATAAATAACATCAATTGGTCGCTAAAAATTCTCTACTCTCTTTTTTTCTTTTCCACTTTTGATATTTTTCAAATAATTAATTTATTGTTTCAAATAATTATTATATTGTATTATAATAACAATGATGGCAGAATCAATGGTCTCTATTTTTTAAATCAAACGCTTAATGGTGTGAGATATTTGGATTTTTTGTGGAATGTGTGTGTGACTTGTCACTTGAAAAATTTATGTTTACAGATAAGACACACAATATGGTTTCAATAAAATAGTGCACCTTTTATATTATGCATAAATAGCACAGAATTATCTTAATGTTCTATTGCAAAGTCAATGAAGTGGACGAGATGATTTTGTCGAATGACTAGTCAAATCTCACCCCATTAGGGCTTTATTTGTGAGATAAAAGACTATTTTTAGAGAACGATTAACAACGGCAGGAATTATACACGCACGAATGCGCATCGTAAATACAATCAGAGCGATTTCCCGAAAAGGTCTATTATCAAATGTTCAACATTATAGGCATTGCCTTGTCGCATGTGTAATTTAAAATAGGGCACATATCGAACATTTAATGTGATTATATAACACGTGAAATATGCGCGCGCGCGCACACACAACACTTATACGAACGCATGCATGCCCGCACGCACACGCGCATATATGTGTGTGTATATATATATATATATATATATGAGATGATAGTTAAATTTTACCTCCATGCGATATATTCTGACAACGCTAAAAAAGTCTTTGACATTTTGATCTAAAAAAAAAAATAATATATGATTTAAAAAATATATTATAAAATCCACATTTTTTCAAAGTCATAACATATGGTATGGTTGAACTCGCTTTGGAACAAGATATCACCTCATGAAGTTCAAAATATCATGTATATTTTAAAAAAACGATGTTGAAAATAGACGTACGCTGACAATGAGATATGAAGTGATAGGATAGTAATGATACTATACAATAAGTTTTTGTTCTCTCTACCTTCTACAATTTTATTTTGGATATTTTCTTTTTAATATTAACTGTTTATAAGTTATTGAGTTATTGCAATGTATTTATTTTATTTGAGACACGTTGTATATAAGCAACGTTTTTTTCAGACACCAATTATACGCACCCTTATCGATATGATGCACTTTATCTGTGCATTGCATTTCACATTTGTTATCATATTTTCAATTGAACTATAACTTATATATCTGAAAAACAAGATGCGTCAACAAAGCAAATATATAAGTATACAATATTACATTCTTACCCCACTACAAATTTATTCTTACCCTGCGTATTATCAATCATAACGTCATTTTAATTTCCTGATTTCTTTTTACTCTGTCTTTGTTTCTCTTTCTATTCCTGTCCCGAGTGCAAGAGCATAAAAATAATGAAAGGACAAAACTAATAGCTCGCGATCTACCGAGGAATACGTTCATAGGCAAGGCCGTAAAACAGAGAGAAAAGCGATGAGAGGCGTGCAATAAAAACAAGAATGACGGGCATAAAACAGCATAATGGAATTCGAGCTAACCCGTCTCTCTTGTAACTTATATAGCGAACTGTCGTTCATATCCCAGTATTATCGGACGCGTGATATCGAATATTTGTCTTTTTTATCTTTTCTCGTTTCAAAGAACTTACGACTTGAAAACGCAAAATACTATTTTGCATGACGTTGCGAAAGTATTGAATGACATTTTTCGCCGCCTGAAATTTATTCGTGTGTATTTTTACATTCTCCTCATACATATATAATTGTTGAGTTTTTTTTTTTTTAAATTAAGATATAGGCATTAATAAAAGATTAAGAAAGAAATAAAAGAACATGATACGGAACTGATATAACATACATAATAATGTAAAGTGCTCATCGAACAAGAATATATAAGATAATTCTTACATTTATATTAAAAAGTTTGATATAAAAAAAGAGACGAAGATAAAAAAGTGACAGCTTCGTGTCATCGATTTGGGTACTTTCGTGCAATATACCTATTAAATTTAATTAACGAAAACTTATAAATCAGATCACTTTAATTACGAGAGAATTTAAGGCATAATATGAATATCACAACATTTCCTTCGTCGTCTTTAAAGCGAAAGTTATCGTATAAGTTATCGCTCGTTATAGTTATTGCGTTTAAGATTATTTTTCATATGAAATAGTGCTAACATAGAACCACGTGTATTAATAACAAGCAATTAGTCCGTCCAAAAATATTTTGTATTAAAATGACCTGTGTATATGTGTGTGTAGAGACATTTCGCAGATAGATTTAATTATATCTAGTAGATAGGTTTTCGATTGAATATAAGTACCTTGACTTCGCGTATTCAAATCCAGCATTTAATCTGAAAATCACGATCTTTACTGTTATACATCTTTAATTATTCAAAAACAATTTGTGAGATTTTGTGTTTTGTGTAGTATTGCATAATATTACACTAACTTAATTATCATTGTAAATTGCAGAATTAAATTTACAACAATATTCAATAAAAAAGAATATTATTCATGAAGAAATAATTAAACAATTAATAGAAATAATTAATAATCTCGACGATAACAGAAGATAAATGTAAACTAAGTGCTACACTAATTTTATATTTAATCAAGCGCCTGTATTTTATCCAGTGTTGGGTAGATTGCTCGAACGTTGACTTTGCTTTATGCTTTTTAACTATTTCATTTGATCATAAAAAATAGACAAATATTTTGTCTTCAGAGTAATATATAAAAGTAAAGCAACTTTGATAACATGTTTAATTTGATCTTTTTCTTCCCCTCTTATCTTTTTCTTCATAGTTTACCCAGCCGAAAGAATAAGAGGTTGTTTTTGAAATGATAATTCTATAGCATTCTATAGTATTGTTACGTATATGACACACATACATGTACACACGCAAAATAGGATTTAGCTTATGACAATAAAGGTATCTCGAGTATTCGTAGTCGATGACTCTCTTTCTCGTGGTAGCGACGACGCTGTAACAATGGTAACCGGTTTCTCGCACTGTTCGCTCTCTTTTTTCGATTTGCTGCTAACATGCAAGTCATCGATGGCAAAGATATATAAACAGCCTTTGATCGGATCAAAATAAAATAAAAATGGATTATGCAAGTGAATTATTTAAGCGTTTTTGATTTGTCGTATAATAGTCATGATCGTCATGATCATCTCACGGGCATCCTGCGAATGAGATGAAACAGAGCGGGGGGCGAGACTAGAAGCAGAAGTAAAACTGAAAAAGATCTTGTGCAGCACGAAACACATGAGCTCTATGATATTAATGCTTATTCAGTACGAGCGAATGAATAATGGGCTGCTAGTGAAATACGTCGAGACATAAATATTGTATCTGGAGCGCTATATATTACCTGTATCGAATATATTATCCGGCGTGTTCTCTGTTCTCTGCTCCGCTAGCTCCTATCTGATTGAGATTGTTGCCATGGGAATGGTTGGACTTGCTCATTTGTTTGCGTCGTGGCGGCCATTTTCTGGTCACTATCACCGAGTCAATTGTGTTTGTTATGTGAGTGAGCCTCTCTCCTTGTCCTTGTTCGTCCCTTCGTTCGACACATAGATTTCTCTTTTGTGCATAAAGTACGAATCCATCTTTTTGTTTTTGTTTTTTTTTTAATTTTTTTTTTTATGAGCGATGCTTATTATAATACTTCCCCTTCCCGGTTCTGTTTCCGAAATTATATGCACTTCACCAATGTAACGTGATAGAAAGAAAGAAAGAGAGAGAGAGAGAGGGAGAGGGGGATTCCTTATCGATTTACCTTCGAGTTACACGCGACAAAACAAGAGAAAAAAAAAGAGATTATTATTTTGCAAAAAATGTTCTCGTAATATATCATGTTTCGATATTCATTATAAAAGAGAAGTACGCGACTTCGCGATATTGTTGTAGTCGTTGATTGATCTATTGCGACTTGTTCGCGCAATTTATGAGAATATTAAACTAAATTACGAATTTACATTCAAGGATTTTTTTTTAATACCGCATATCATGAAAGGAGATCGATCCATGATTGAAATGGAACAGTTATGACATAACTCTTACGTAGAAATTGGGCATTCCTTAAGAAAATAACACCGGATGAAAGTGATCGAACCGTATATAATATAAATATCAGCACTATATATTGCAATTTTAGTATAGAATAATATAACTATCGCAAGCATCGTTTCTTCGAAATTGCAATTTGACATCAGTTTTTCCTCAATAATGCTAAACCTGACCCCACAGCCTAATATCAATTCCCGCAATCGACAAGTTAAAGTATTCCTACTTTTGCAAAAAATGTTTTGTGCAAACCTATTATTCTGTTTTTTTTTTTTCCATTTATTTACCTCCTTCTGTCGGCCTTACATACCGATTCCTCCCATCTTCGCATATTCTCTAGCACGACGAAACGTAATCATTTGCAATCCCGCGTAGAACCGCTTTGAAACTTCCTCGAAGGAATTTATTAAACTTTGACTAAGTCGCTTTACAAAGTTTCACCGTAGGGGGAAGTCGGCGGGGCCGAGGCCGAGACCGGGACTTGGGTAGAGTGAGAGTGGAGGGGCAGCCGATCGAGCTGCGACGAGAGGAAGCGGCGAGTGCGGGGGTGTCGAGGTAGAGAAGAAACCGACGATGAGAGCATAGGCAAGGAACGATAGTGATGGGATGAAGGGAGAGAGAGAGAGAGAGAACGCGAGGGAAAAGATGGAGGTGCTGGTGGAAGTGGAGATGGAGAAGGAAGAGGAGGAGGAGGAGAACTGGAAGTGAAAGAGGAGGAGGAGGAGGAGGAGAAGGAGGATGAGAGAAGTTACTTTCCCGGAGAAATAAAAGTTAATAGAGTTCTCTACCTCCTCGTATTCCACCTCTTTCACTGCTTCACCATCGTACAACTTTCACGAAAGTTATTATATCTTAATTTACTATTGGGCATTATCTGGAATTTCTCCGACGTTTCCGTTTTAATGCGCCGCAGGATATAAGCAGAAAGTATATTGTTCTTTCGTATGATTGAGAGAAACAAAAGTACTTTTATCATGCTGCTTTATTGTACGGCTATGAGTATATGAAAAACGAAGAGTAGGGGTAAGAAAAAGATAGTATGAAAAAAATCAATGTGTCTGTTATATGCTCAAATTAAGAGAATACTTCGTACAAGGTCCAAGAAACGTTAATATTACACCGTGCAAGATCACAAACGAGAACACACTTGGAAATCGATATTGCATTCGGCAATATCGAATCATATGTTCTAAAGTCAGAAGCACCGAACCCACGCATTGATTTTAAAGAATATTGTGGAGAAAGAGACTTTCCAATATTTATATAGTCAACATAAATTTACAAACGTTGGTAGCTTTATTTTATCGTAAAAATTGTATTATCGCTATATAAAAAACTGTATATCGCTATATAAAATACGTTTGTAATTTTATTTTCCTCAATTATTTTAATCTCCATTTATATAAATAAATTGCGAAACGCAAACTTTAATAATGTAAAAACGTAAAAGAATAATGCTTACACAGTGACAATCCAGGACACAACATCTGAAAATTACATTATTTGAATGCATTTGCAAACATTTGCTAAACATTTTCTGTAAATGAGATATTTCGCAGTAAAGCATTCATCCGCTTGGTATTTTCCAATAAGTTTCTTTGACCGCAATATTGTAGCAAGTTTCGATCGTCAAAAACAATTACATTAAAAAAGAAATTGCATCGATTTTAAAATAATATATGTATACGGTATCTTGCATAAGGGGAAGTTAGCAGTAAGGGAGACTATATGAACCTCGATCCATTCGGTTTGACTCGATATCATTTGGCTCACGATTATTTGTTTTTCTGCATATGAATATATATGTTATAATTTGATAGCTATACACACATGTCGCAAGAAACAAATAACTGGAAGCTGAATAATATTGAGTCGAACTGAATGAGCCGATGAGCTGTCCCTCTTTTCCCCTAATATCAATACTCCCCTTATCCTGATTAGCAGTATATTCTTTTATCGATAAAGAATACAATTAAAATATTAGCCACAAAAATCGATATCATTATGTCTCGTACATACACATATGTTATAAAATTATCAATTTGTTATCTATCTCTATATATATGTGTATGTGTGTATTTATTTATTTATATAAATTATATAATTCATCAAAGACTTATAGTCAAAAACTTAATTTAGCATATAAATACACACAATACTCATGTACAAACTAAAGCTTCTAATGAGTAAACTAAATAAACGGATCAAGTTTTTGTATCAGTTCGAATAAAACGCAATATTAATTGCTGTAAAATAGGAATATATTGATTAGTAACCATATTACTGTTCCAATATCTCTTCTTAAACTCTTATTTTAAAAACCTCGATAAATCAATATCTTTCAAGTTGTATGTGCAATAAGAAATCATAAAAACATACAGTAATTTTGATCTTAAAAGATATCAAAGAGTTAAACCAATAATATATGTTTGCTAACATTTTAATTATACTGAGAGGAAATTTATATATACATGTACTTCTACTTATCTTACCCGTGTAATTATACATGTAGTTGACCGTATATATAGTATGTATATACTTAAATCCACAGACAAGGTACGCAAATATCTGGGTTACGGAGTAAGTTATTGTGTTTTAAGCCAACTTGGTAAGTTACGATTAAACTTCTGATTTTTATGTAGAATTTTATTATAAAAAATTTATTTTTTCGAAGAAAGAATTAATTTTATATATATATAACCTAAAATATTTCTAAATTATTTATAATGTTCACAAAATATATATTTACAGCAATATATACCGATACGCATTTTAAATGAAAATATTATAATATTATATACATATATGTCCAATAAAACCTTTAAACATATTTGCGTATTCCCTATTTGAAAATGTATTTTCCAGATTCAAAATCATGCTAAGGATATGACGTAATACATCAATATATTTATTCAGAGTGTGCTACAAGATTATATAGAAAAAATATATAGTCTCATTTTAAAAAAATAACACGGAGTTTAAAATCTGCATTAAAAAATTAATTAAAAAAAAACATTTTTATGTTCCTCATATATAGAACCATATAGATCTATATCATTTATCTTTTTTTAAATAAATAATGAAAAATATCTAAGATACTCGAGTTAAGTGGGTCATTTTATATATAAACACTAAAAATAAGTATTGCTATAATTATACTTCACCATGTATAAATTTGTATACGCAATGTGACCAATTGATTACATTACCATATGTAACATATTATATCATGTATAAGATCTTTTCATTTTAATATATGCACCGTACTATCGCACCGAAAGTAGGTTATCGAAAATGAATTGCGGTAAAAGGAGCATGTAAAACATACTTGAAACACAACCTACGCATAATTTACGTTACAATGATAAAAATGAAATAATTTTCACATAATCAGTAAAAATATAATTGTCTTGTTATTTGTATGTATTTTGTATGTATATGTGTATATGTATATATGTATAATGTATGCATGCATAATGCTTAAAAATTGATATCCGATATTAATACTTGACACTTAAAATTGACACTTGATATCAGCATTCTTGAAAAAATAAAGAAGTTGATAATATATAGATATAAATATATGTCCAGTTTGACATTGTTTTTCAGTTATAACGAGTTTCATATTTTATATGTATACATATATACAGGGTGCGGCATTTATAGTGACGCGGGCATATTTTTCGGAAACGAAGTGAGATATCAAAAATGTTTCAGACAAAAGTTGCATGGTTTCGAGGGGGCCACATGATAAAAATATGGATTTAACCTTAAGTGGTCTTTTCAAGGTGAGGTCAATGTGGTCGATGTTTTCTTAAATGGAACTCCACATTTTTTATTACGTTTCCGAAAAATATGCCCGCGTCGCTATAAATGCCGCACCCTGTATATACATATATACGAACAATGCCACTTGTTCATGTTTTAATATTTCAAGTCTTGATCTATCTCAATCTATCTCAATCTTTAATTCATCTATCGGAAAAATTACAATAAAGCAAAATTATATTTAACATTAACGTAATGAAAATACATATTGATATATTTAAACAGCATTAGAGCCAGGTTTGTATGTAGTTCTATTCCTCGCAATCCGCGTTACTTCATATACCACGCGCATTTTCATTATGATCGCAAAGTGAAAGTAGTCAAACGGGATTATTTCAAACAGTAAGCGGAATATAAAATATACGAAAGATTCGAACGACAATGAGAACTTCGCCTTTAGCATTTATTCACTTTATTTGTTTTATATGGTTCTATTTATATGAAGCTTATTTGGATTTGCGTGGAGATAAGATAAACCGAGATTCTTTGTAATTGCTGCAGCAATATCACCGAATAATGTCGCGATATTTGACAACGTATAATGCTACGCATTTAATAATTTTTTTTATTCATCCTTCTCAGCTAATGTTTTATCCTTCTCGGCTACCTTTCTCTGCATCTGATTTATCGCTATAAGTTATAATATTTGCGTCACTATTGTATGGTAATACGTATAGTAAAAAATATGTTAATGGTTGCCATAAAGGAGATATATAGCGTACATATATGTATGTGTGTGTGTATCTCATATATTCCGCGCCATATACCCAGTGACTATATAAACTGTGCAATATATATCACCCGTACTTCCCCTCTTTCCGCTATTCTACGTCCCGAAAAACACTTAATGGTCTTGCGGCAAGTTTTAATGCGATATACGGAATATTTCCATGTATCATGGCTAGTTCGTTTTTGCTCAATGCGCCTTGCGAAAATCGCTACGATATAAGCGTAAATCATAAATGTAACTATGCATTTGAATTGTAACAAAGATGATAATATCAATTTGTATGATATCAATATTATAATTGAAGAGCTTCTTATACTCGATTTCTGTTGCGTTTGTCTGCCTTCAACAGTTGATAAAGTAGATTGTATTCTATCCATGCCGCGTTTTTGCTATCACATTGTAATGGCAGACCGTGCTTGATGTCTGCCGCATTTTTGCTATTAGTGTCTGATACGGGCAGATTTTTCTCGATATTTATTACATATTTGCTGCCACGACGTAATAGCAAATAATGCTCAATTTTTGCCCCATTTTCTTTATTATACTATATCGACAAACCGTGCTGCCAGAAATTAAACTTAATAAGGACGCAGCACACCGGAATCTGTTGCAAAATCATAATTAAATTTGCTGGCATACTACTATTTTGCTCTCTGGGTATATATAACAATGCATAATATGATTACATATTTTACTAAAACATTTATATATTTTTCTTAATATGATTATGGTGTATATATAACTTTTGTGGGTGTGCGTGCATGTATATACACACACCTATAGACCTACAGAATATATACAGAATATTGAAAAAAAACCATTCAATATTTATATGGTAGATAGGACACACCATGCTGAGTAAAAAAACCTTAGTAAACATAGCTCAACCGTTTCTGAGATATAAACATTTTTGTTAGACTCATGATTGACTTACTGGCTTCTACGTGTCGCATGCGATGTTTACTTTAGTATTTATAAACTGCGTTCTGAATGTCCTCATTCAATTTCCATATATACCGAACAACACATGTTCGGTCAAAGGTGGATTGGACGTGGTGGATCAATTGCATGGCCTCCTCGATCCCCTGATTTAAATCCCTTGGACTTTTTTATAGGGGTATTTGAAAAGCATAATGTATTCTTTGCCGATAAATGATTTACAATTAGAAGAATTACGTGACCGAATCCAGCGTGCTCTGTCAAATAATTTGACAGACACCTGAAATTTGCGAGAGTTCGCGATTCTGTAAGAAGAAGATGCCAAGCGCGTATGGAAATGGAAGGAGGACATGTGGAACACCTTCTGTAAATATCGAGATAAAGATTTAGACAGATTATCTTCTTCTCACATCACATGCGACACGTAAAAGCCAGTAAGTCAATTATGACGGTAACATATAAAAATGTTTATATCTCAGAAATGGTTGAGCTTTCGACCTATGTTTACGGTTTAAGGTTTTTTTACTCAGCATGGTGTGTCTTATCTACCATATAAATATTGAATGGTTTTTTTTAACACCTTGTATATATA